CCGCTAGGTGCTATGAGTCGACACTATTCTGAACAAGTCTGCTCCGGGGGTGTGGGACGCTGGATTTAAAGATTTGTTTCTTGGGATTTGTTTTCTTCAACATTTTATGCGATTTAAAAAAAAATAAAGAAGAGAATATACAAAAAGTTTATATATATATATATATATATATATATATATATAAAAGAAATATGTTGTAGTGGTTACAACGAGAGAAAAGTATGTATATTAAAAAGAAGAGAAGAGAGGTGCCGCAAACGTTTTTGGTTGTAATGTGGATTTATTTAGAAAAAAAATATTATGCTTTGTTTTACATAATTGTACGACACGTGTTTCTGGTCTCGCGACCGTCTTCAGGTAAAAGCGGAGATTTTCACATATTATTAAAAATAATTAATTTTTTTCTTATGTTCAATGTTAAATATTCTCGATATGAGACATTCTCTGTTTGTGTGTTGGTAATTCAATTTCTTTTTCTTGAATATATATATATATATATATATATATATATATATATATATATATATATATATATTCTTTCGCGAGTGAACTGCAGCTGAATCTGTTTTAATGCCGTTGAATGTCTTAAGTTGATGCTTGCAGTTGATTTTCATTTTTCTTCCCGTTTTCCTGGATATGACGATAAACTACATCCGGCAGCAAGAACTCTGATCGGGAGATCGGAGCTTTTGAGGAACCACCTCTTAATTGATGTTGTTCTCAGATTCACCCTCATCCGGTGTGGTAGCAGCTGTGTGTAAATAGTGAACACACCCCGCAAAAAAAAAAAAAAAAAAATTAAAATAAAATAAACATACATTTCTATAGGAAAATACATTTTTAGATTAAATAATTACCAACAAAACCTATTTATAGTAAAATGACCAACAATAGATTTTATCTATAGTTGAAGTTATAGTTGAAATTCAGTCAAACGACATTAATCCGTACAATAACCGAAAAAGATCAAACTGTATTCCGAAATATAACATCTACAATACTACAACATAAAACACACATACCACCGCCTCTATCTGTCTCTGTCTCTGTGTCTCTCTCTCTCTCTCTCTCTCTCTCACACACACACATACACACACATACACACACACACATATATATATATTTCTCACGATGGTGGCCATTCTGGGCGAAACAAGTCGAGGAACGTAATTTAAATAATAAAATAAAAATATTACAAGCCAGTGTGTGTGAAATTTTTTTAACATTTTTCCTTGTTCAAGACATATGTATGTATGTATGTATGTATGTATGTATGTATGTATGTATGTATGTCTGTATATCTATATATGGATAAGAATATATTTATATATATAAGTATATATATAAGAATATATATATATATGGATATATAAGAATATATATACATATATTTAAGAATATATTTATATGAATATATATACATGCATATATATAAGAATATATATTTATATATATATATATATATATATATATATATATATAAGAATATATATATTAGAATATATATGTATATATAAGAATATATATATAAGAATATATATAAGAAATATATATATATATATATATATATATATATATATAAGAATATATATATATAAGATTATATACATAAGATTATATATATATATAAGAATATATATTAGAATATATATGTATATATAAGAATATATATATAAGATAATATATATAAGAATATATATAAGATTATATATATATATACATATAGAATATATATACATATATATTAGAATATATATGTATATATAAGAAATATATATATATATTAGAATATATATGTATATATAAGAATATGTATATTAGAAATATATATATATATAAGAATATATATATAAAAGAATATATATATATAAGAATATATATATTAGAATATATATGTATATATAAGAATATATATGTATGTATATATATAAGATTGTATATATATATACATAAGAATATATATATATATATATATATATATATATATATATATATATATATATATATATATATATATATATATATAGAATATATATATATGTATATATATATACATATATATATGTAAGTATATTTTATTTAGGGAATTTTCTAAATTTTCTCATTCGGTGTAGATATGGGTGTGCTTATGCGTGCTTTTATTTGCGTATGTATGTGTACAAGTACACTAGTTCAGCCATCATACGAGTGATACTTTATGTGTATCTGATGCATAGACATGAGTCTTGTAGATAATAAATATGTGCGTGTGTGCGTGTGTGCGTGTGTGCGTGTGTGCGCGTGTTTATGTGCTCGCCATTTCTTCCAACATTCGACGCTCGGCTTTTGTTAAAGGAAACTTTCGGAGCCGATGTGCAACCAGCAGGCATAGAACGAAAATGCAAAGAAACAAAACTAAATGTCACTGGAAAGTAGCTGTTAGTGTTAGTGAGCAAACATTTTAGCACTTCGTATGTGTAAAACAGGCATTACTTATTTACATAAACCCGCTCACTTGACGGCGGTAGCGAGGTACTTCTACAAAATGGTGCGAATACCATGGATTGAACATGTGAGCAACGAGGAAGTTTGAAAGAATCGGAAAGAGTTGAAATTTCTAGAGAGCCTAAAAGCGACTGGAGAATTTGACAGCCTAGAATATTTTTTCTGCAGGAACCTTTTATGTTACCTCGGTGTTGCTATTGATATAATTCGGTCGCAAGCGGATATGGTCGGGTAATCACCGAAATAAGTCAGCAAAATTTAATCAGCAAAAATCTCTCACAGGAACTGTGCTAAATTTTGTTCTATACTGTAGTCTTAGCTTGCTATCGTATCCAGGCGTCGGTGGTGTAACGGTTAGCATGGTTGCCTTCCAAGCAGTCGATCCGGGTTCGACTCCCGGCCGACGCAGGTTCTTTTTTTTTTTTTTGCATACAAAAAAGAAAATAAATTTAAAAAGGATATAACGTGAAGATAAACTAAGTAACATTTTTGCATCCGTTTTTTAAACAACATGTGTGCTTTTCTTTCGTTTGTTTTTATTGTGAACATTTAAAATTAAAACTATCATTTATCAATGTACTTTTTGAAATGTTACAAATTGCATCCGAATTAAAGTCGGGAAAATGTGTAACCCCGATATGACTGTTACAAAACTTATCACTGTCTGTAAATTCTTGGTTACCTTTCGACGCTAAAACAACTAAAACAATTGCTCGTCACTGCCAGGGCCGGTGCGTACTACCCCTGAAACACCAGGCCTGATTAGGGGCCCCGGTCAGTGCTTTGTGACACTCCCTATCTTATCAACATTTGCTTTTTTCTACCTACATTTATATACGTTAAAAATTAAACTAAGCACAGCTTACTAAAGGATGAAGACTTTTCGCGGAATTTGATGTTATTCTGGGGTCTTTTTACGCCTAAATCCGTGAATTTGTTTTGGTTTGTTCATGTCAAGTCTCGAAAAAACACTATATAAAATTCACTATCCATAATGTTGAATGTGTATTACGACTGAGTAATGAGTTCCATCCTCACTGGGCGCCCCACATATTCGGCCTTGTGCCACATCTAAGCTCCGTTTAGAAAATCACCATAATGTTGAATGTGTTAAAATTATTCAACTTTTTACCAAGAAAAATATCACGTTGATATTAAAAATTACCGCGAAACAATGTTTATTTATGAGGTAATGATCTATTATGACAGGTCTCTAATTTGTATTTACATACATTGTATTTATTTTCAATTTTTCTTGTTGAATACGAATCATTATTGTAAATAATTCAGTCAATTATGTGATACACGCTTAGGCGATCATCTATCTTTCGATACATGACTGACAAGGCAGATTTTTTCCCCTCAGTAGGTTGCCATTTCTTTCTGCGGTAGATCAGTTTCCATCCAAGGCTATAGAATCCGGTCTGTCCTGCTATTTACCTATAGCTGGGGGGGAAGAAGAGGATTCATACCTTTCCCAAGTGTATTATGTAATGGATTCGACTGGAATTCGAACTCGGCTCTCCGATTCCTCAATCCGAGCCGCTATCCATTACTCCTCCTTGTACATAATTAGGTTACAATAAAATTTTGTATTTTATATGAATACCACCTTATAAAAATTGAGTCGAGGTGTAGTGGTGGTGGTTGTGGTGGGCTTGTAACATAGATTCGGGAGGAGGGGTCACGAGATCCTTTCACCTGGTCGCTGTTACAGGCGTCATTCATATTTAATTCTTCATTTATATACCGTGTCCCTTCAGGACGTGGATGATCATGGCTCTCCACAACTTCTTAATCTTTGCAGGTCTGTCCCTTTATTATCATTTAACCAGTCCTTGTTCAGCCATTCATTTACGCAAGCGCGTTAGATACGCTACTCGGGTTTTCCTTCTGATCCTCTTGCCGTCAATATATGATATGAGCGTCAAATTGATTTCCCAAAATTAAAAAAATCAGAAAAAATCAATAAAAATTTGTTGTGTAAATAAAAGGCAGAACAGGGAGATATAACGAAAAGACAAACCTTACAAAGAGCTACAAATAAGTTGTGGAGAGCAATGATAGTCTATGTCCTGAATGGACTCGGCATATTTACATAAAAGACGGTATAAAGTCTATCTTCTGAGCATGTTTTTCGGAATTACTTTTTCATTAACGACTTATAATTTTAAGAACACCTTTTCATCTTTCATATGCTATGTCATATCTGGACGTGGGTGATCATGACTCTCCACAACTTTCTGCCATTTGTTGATAAGAACGTAGGCATATATTGATATCCACATTCCATCTGTGTTAAATGTATCTGAAATTACTAAAAGTTTGCGTATAGTAGTAGATTTTACAAGTATTTTCTGCAACGTTTTCTTTATCCTTGAGAATGAGACATTTTGCGACGAGTAGCTGAACCTTAAAAACAATGAACCTTTTCTTCAAGGATAAAACTGTAGCAGGTCACGCAGTATACATGAGACTGCGTCGCACGGGTAGCCTCTTAAACTTTATTGCGTAAGTGTAAAAGGAGAGGCCTTCCCCACCTCTCTTTTTTCTCTTTTTTTTTTTCTACGGCTTTTCTTTCCCTTTTCGTGCGTTGGTTCGTTCCGTTTTATGGAGCCAATTTTTTTTTTCCTGATCCCATTTTTAGGGGCTCCCAAGTTTCCGAAGAAAACTGATGTCGCTAATGTGTGTCTCTAGTAAATTGCATTGCTTGCGCGTTACTCTCCCTTTTCTTTCACACTCCCACAACGGATGCGCAGGCTGCTGATCCATATGAACGCGTGCTGACGCACACGCACAGAAACACACACTCGCACACACACGCGTATTGAAGCTTTTTCCTTGTATTTAAAGGGTAAATTTAGGATACCATAAATATATATACGATATAAGTAATCTTATGGAAGTGATATCGTATACAAATATTCTCCGTTTCTTTATAAGGAAACATTTGGCATTTATACAGCGAGTAGCCAGTGTTATTCTCGGCTGAAATTTATAATTTTTTTCCTTTTAAATCAGTTTTTCAGGAAAATAGGTTTTTCAAGTCAACAAGCTGCTATCGTTCTTTAAAGTAATGACAGGGGTTTCCTTATTTTTTCTTAAATAGCGTGGAACATCCACATCTTGATTACACATTTATTTTCTCTTCAAGTTACATGTGATAAGTTGTTGCTGTTGTTCAAAGTCATCAAGTGATGTGGTTTCTGTTATTTGACACAGTTTCTTGTTTGTGATTCTGTAGCGCCAGTCCACTAGATTTGAAGAGGGATGGTCCACGTGAAGGTCTACAGGCATCTTTCGCTCGAAATCATTTTTAATCGTTAATTTGCGAAAGCAGTTATATAGAATTGACAATTTACATATTTCTGAACGAGTTTTTGTGCCATGAATGACATCCATATGAAAGTTTATATTTGCATTCAATATCGATGATTGAATGGGGAAAATCTACTTGAAAAATCCTTACTTATTTAAAGACCATTATTTATTATTTAAAGAATTTCGATAACAATAAAAAATCTAGATTAATCAATTCTTCCAAAACTGAATTAGGTTTAATTTCTAAAAATATATTAAAAAGAATTATCAACAAAATATAAGAATATTCTTATAACAATCTGCGGCAAGATTCTTTTGATACAATAAAATGCTTCCATAATATTAAAAATAAAGATAAGGCCACATTTATTCACTTCGACATAATAGATTTCTATTCCTCCATCTCCAATGATCTATTATTAAAAAGCATTAATTTTGCTAAAGATTACGTAGAAATTTCGGATGATGAATTCGAAGTTATACTGGCCTCTAGAAAATCATTACTGACTAATAATAACTCAACGTGAATTAAAGGCCACAATGATAATTTCGACGTAGCTCTGGGTGCCTTTGACTCCGCACAAATTACTGATAGTAGGCATCTATATTTTAAACACCCTTAGCAGGATTATTGACCCTAAACAGGTAGGTCTATATAGAGATAATGGACTTATTTTTATCTTCAATAGTAAAGGTCAACTTAATGCACAAAAGAAAATTATCAGGGCTTTGAAGTTCCTTGAGTTTAGAATTGAAATTTCTTCCGAATATTTTAACCAAAGTAACAAGTAAAATTTTTAATAGAAAAACCTTAAAAATTAGCTACCCCAGCACAAATAAATCTATAATATCATTAATTCAGATAATAATAAAATATTAAATAAATTTTATACCAATAACCAACCAGATACCAAACCATTTTGTAGAAACAAAAACGAGTGCCAAGTTTGGAGGTATATGCCAATCCGAAAATGTTATATACCAAACAACCTTTTCCCCCAAAGAAAATGCATACAATAAAAATATTGGAATTTCTGCTGGTAATTTGGAAGCAGAGATTCTACTATCACAAGCATTCTTTCTCTAACCCTTATCTAAAACACCAAAAACTCTTTCCAAACACTTCTCGGAATTAAAGGAGAGAAATTTCACCCCACAGATAGAATGGAAGATTATAGGTAAATCCCAATCCCTTAACAGCTTCAGAAATAGATGTAATTTTGGCCTGGAAGAAAAAAATTAAAATAGTTAAATATAAAAATACGAACGAGTTATTGGACGAAAGAAACGAAATCATATTTAAATGTCGCCATTAAAACAGATTTAAATTATAAAAATAGAATTTATTTGTATTTATTTTCCTGCCATATATTTATTTTGCAGTCATAAAATTTTATTTTGTATTTTTTTTTTTTGCTGTCATATAATTATTTTGCATGTTTGGATTTATAATTATACTTTCTTTATACACACACACACACACACACACACACACACACACACACACACACACACACATATATATATGTGTGTGTGTGTGTGTGTGTGTATCAGTGTGTGTGAATGTGTTCTGATATGTGTATATGCATTGTATATGCGTGCTTATGTATATATATATGTTTTGTGTACATATACGTGTATATGAATGTATCTGAGTCTGTGTGTTGTATACATGTGTTCATGTGTGTATGTATATATATATACATATATGTTTATGGGTATGTATGAATATGTATTGCTCGTTGGGTTGACACATTTTTGTTTTTCTTCACCCCCCCCCCCACCGCACTTCCTCTTATATTTTCAAGGATTTTTCTAGGTCAAATCTTTTATTCATTTTCTCTTGTAATTTTTAATATATAGTCTGGATGATTTAAACCATTTTATGACTTCGGTCTCATGAGGTCTGTCTGAAATAAATTATTACCAAACTCTTTAATGATGTATTAAGTTTTTCCTTTTTTTATCATATTGCTTTGTATTTTGATACAATGAGCTCCCTTCATGAATCTATCTTTTTAATATTTTATATTAAAAAGACCTATTTGGATTATCCTTACCACTTACGGATTTGATATTATGATATATATATATGTGTGTATGTAGGTTTGTGAAAATCTTATGTCTAGGTGGCCAGCGGATGGTAACGTGTATTTGTGACTGTGTGTGTGCGTCTGTCTAGTTGTTTTTTTTATCTTCACTCTTGTGCGGCCAATCCTCGCAGCGGGGAGTCGCTGGGTTTTAGTTTATGGCTCCCCTGTCGAAGAATGTATTCTTTGTATTACATATTAGTCAGATTCTTTAAGAATGGGTTAAAAAAAGATGGCAATGTAATGTAATGTTTTAGAGGTGTTTTTATAGTTGGTAATAATGTTATTAAGTTTTCAATGTATTTTCTCCTTAAAGAATTGTTCCTTTGTAATTAGGGTTATCATTAGTGAAATCAAAGTTATGTCCGCCATCGTTTCCATGCAAAACGAGAGAGTTAAATCGACTTTCCAAATTTCCATTCGTAAATGCGGGTTTTTAGCTCACGTGATATCTCCTCCACATAAACATTTTTGCATTGTAAAAAATTTATTCGATAAATCCAGGTATTTGAATGTGTGTTGGGTTTATTTCTCTTCCTAATTATATCTCCGATTGTCTTGGAGGTGGTTGCAACACTCCTAGTATTGGGGATGGGTTCAGTAGAAAGGAGAGCGGGATTATGAATTTTGTGTAATTATTACTTGAAGTGTTATTGGTGGTGTCTGTTCTTTTTTGTTTTTGGCTTTGTAGATCTTTTAAGGTCGTTATTTGCGTTGAGGATAAAATTATGTGGGTAGTGGAGAAGTTCGAAAGTTTTCTCAATATATCTCTCTTCTTCATTTAGCTATTCCGGGTTACATATCCGATGGGCTATAAGGTAAAATCCTGTGGTTAGTCCAGATTTTATTTTTTGGTTGTGGTGGGAATAGAAGTTGATTAGATCATTTTTGTTTGCGGGTTTGCGATATACCTTAAAATCTAATTTCTTATTGTTGCGTATTAGTAAAATTTCGAAGAAAGGTAGAGAATTATTTATTTCAAATTCCTGTGTGAATTCAATAGTAAATTCAACCTTATTGAGTTTCACTATTATGTCTAATAGGTTTGCATCTAGGGGATTAATAAGAGGACGTCATCTATATATCTTATGTAAGTAGAGCGATTTGGTATGACGTGTCTAAATGGACCGGATTCTAAAAATTCTAGAAAAAGGCAAGCGAGAACACTGCCGAGAGGTGACCCCATAGGTAAGCCGAAATTTCGTTTGTAGAGAATATTGTTGAAAGAGAAGAAGCAGTGCTTAGTGATTAGTTTGCATATTTTTATAATTTTGTGGAAGATGGAAGAGGAAGATTTTCTTTGGACATTTTGAGGTGGTTTCTCAATTTGCTGAGGTATTTCGTGATGGGTATGTTGGTGTAGAATGATCTGATGTCTAGGCTCGACATGACCATGTTTTCCATATTTATGTCTCGTATTCTCTTGATTAAGTCTCCAGAGTATTAGTCATGTGTTGTGTTGATGGTTCCTAGGAACGAAGTTAAGTCTTAGCTAATTTGTGGTGTGCACTGTTGATGGCTCTGATTGGTATGTCGGGTTTGGGTGCTTTGAGTAAACCGTAAAGTGTGGGTGTGGTGGGGTGGTATTCTATTAATCTGGTCCAGGATTTGTTTTCATTTTTTAAAAATATTTTCTTAACTGTTTTGTTGAACCTTTGTGTGTCTGTGTTTACTGTTTTTCGTTGGTTTTTGTGTAGATGTCACACCAATTCACTTTGTCTTGTTAGAATGTTTTTCTTGAGGTATTCCCTACTAGGTGACTGGCAGTTTCATACCCTAAGTCAAGAATTTTCAAACATTTCTTTCTTTCGCGTGCACTCTCATCCTGTGTCAAAACCAATTTACTAGCTCACTTCCGGCCTGAGAGACTTTATCTTCCTGAAGGGTTTTATCATATATTCAATAATAATAATAATAATAATAATAAAAGATATTAATCCATTGATACACAAAGTTTCCTAAAAATCTTAATTCTTGGCTAATCTACCTTGCAGGCTAATGATAATCTTAGCGCTGAAGGATTTTAGGTAATCCCCAATTTTAAAAATCGGACACTATGCGCTAATGGGTTAAATAGATTTAACATCCTAGCTTAGTAGGAGTTAATGAAACTGTAAAATGTATGAAACTTTTTAATTATTAAATCCAGAGGGTGGGCACAAACTTTTGTCTCTATATATATATATATATATATATATATATTCAACATCATCACTTGATAAGACACCGGAGGTGTTGAAACAAAATGGCTATTTTTGTAGTGATTTTATAACATATTTATGTTAT